CAAAACAGCCCAAAAAAAAGCAGGGCAGTGGTGGCTAACATCTTCAATCCCAGCTCTCAGAAGGCAGAGACAGGTAGATCTCTGAGTTAAAGGCCAGCCTGGTCTACAGACAAGAGTCTAGGGTGCCAAAAAAAAAAGAACAAAAATAAAAAGAAATTCAGAGGGAAATGAGGATTTCAAAAATGATGTCCCACAGGGAACTCTAGAGCAAAGATAGCATCTTAAAGTTTGTCTTGCCTCAAAACAAAAGCACTGACTTTGGTAATGTGCACAAGCCTCTTGCTGAGTCTACCGGACTGTGAACTACATCAGCCACCTCAATGAATGTTTTCCTTTATAAGCAATGGTCTATTATTGTCTTCACAACAATAGAAATCCTAACTAAGATAGAGGCTGGTACCAAGGATTGGGGTATTGCTGTGATAGGCCTGACCATACTTTTGTTTGAAAGAATACAGACCTTGAGACGGTGTAATAGAAAAGCAGTGGAATGTTTTAAGTGCTACTTAATGGGGCATACTAGTAGGAGCATGGAAGACAGTGGTGCTGAGTGTGATTTAAGCTGTGGGGGGTGGGAGGGCTGGCTCAAGAGGCTTCAGAGGAGAAGCGCTTTAGTATGTGACCTAGAGATTGTTCTTGTGATATTTTGGTGAAGAAAGTGGTTGCTTTTTACCTTTGTCCAAAGAGTCTGTCTGAAGAGTTTTGGGTTAATTTCATTGACCAAGGAAATCTCAGAACAGCCCAGGATAGACTCTGTCATGTGGTTATTAGTGGTAACTCTAGTGAAGATTTATAATGAAAAGGAGCAAGCTGAGCAGAGGAAACTACAAAATGTAAGATTTTAAAGAGAAAAGAAACACCAAAAAATGGAATGGAACTAAGTCCTTTGTTCAAGGAGATAAACAGATTAAGAAATAGAATAAAGGAAGTGGTAACTTCAAGACAAGAATCCAACCAGTTAAATTTCCAACTTGTGAAAAGAAATTAAAGAAAATCTTAGAACTGGGTGTGGTGGCGCACGCCTTTAATCCCAGCATTCCAGAGGCAGAGGCAAGT